TGGGGAAACTAAAGGCTGCACAGTCAGTAAGACCTCTTTTCTTTCTCTTCCTCCCTACTTCCCTGAAGAAACCTTCACCCACTTCTAAAATTGTCTGTTGTGCTCCATGCTTGCAAAAAGCTTTCAAATTATCATCTCGTCTAAATTGTACAAAACCCCCAGGATGCAGGCATGTGCGAGCCGTCTGCATCTCATGCAGGTGCCCCAGGTGGGCTCTGGCCCACGGCCTCTGGCAGCTCCAGCATGTGGTGCCTGTTCAGAGCTGGACGGAAGGAAGGCAGATCCCACTCTACCCACTGGATCAAGGTTCAGCAGCAGCTCGGGATAGTCTCAGATGTGTAATTAATAATGAAATAATTAGCTTTCAGAAGCCAAACTGCTGGCTCACGCATGTACGCTCCAGGCAGAACCAGTCCCCGCGGGTGTCCTTTGGGCGGCAGGGGCAGGCCATGTCTTGCCCTGACCCACTCCTGACCCTGTGGGGCAGACACAGAGTTTCTCACCTGGTTTCTTTTCCTCTGGCTGTCAGAAGAGAGAAAGGGTGTCATCTCACATTTCTGATCATTAAGTCCTGGCAGATGGCCTGCGAGAGATGGCTGCAAAAGGCTCCTGGGCGTGAGCTCCTCTCATTGCCTGCGGCAGAGCTTCTCTCTCTTACTCAGCTCAGTTTCTGGGTGCAGGGAGCTAAGTGTTTCCTCCTCTGGGCACTTTTCAGGTGCAATTTCTCTGCCTTTCTAGATGCCCTGCTCAAGTTAGAGCATCTCTATTCACAGGAAAAAACACCTACCTCTGAGCAAAGCAACTGCCAGGCAGCCACAGTGTTTCTGGTGTGTGCTCAGAGGGACAAGGGCCAGGCTTCTTGTCCTTGAGCTCAGGAGAGAAAACCTAGTAATGAGCAGCACAAAGGCGATATTCTCGGGCCGGGCTCCATGCTGCTGCGGGGCGGCGCCCCTGGAACCGGCCAAGCTGAGGGTCATCAAGAAAGAGAAGAACCAGTCCCTTGAGCATATATATGGTGCCCATTTGATCTTCACTCTTCTTTATCTTCTTTCTTAGTCCCCACCTCTGCTTCCCAGTATCCTCTGTACCAGGCACAGTCACCTTCCTTTCCATACAGCCTCTTATGTTTGTGTCATGGAGTGTTCAATGGGACTTCCGTTATTTCCGAATCAATGACTGGGGCCCAAACCTAAGGATGATGAGGTTCTAGGAACATCATCAACAACTGGGACCAGACCTTGAGGCTTCTTTAACAAGACAACCCATGACTGAGCCACCTGTTATTTTCCCATCACCCAGCTGTTCCCTTCCCCTTCTGCAGGTGAGACGAGTGACGCAGAGGGAGGGTCTGGGAGCCTTTGTGGGAGGGCATATCTGAGCCGGGGGCTTTCTCACCCTCCCATGCTGGTGGGGAGAAGCCACTACTCTGTCTTCCTCCTGGATGGCTGTCTGCGCTGCAGACCCACTGCAGATAGGCCCTCAGCCTGTCTGGACAGGAGCAACAGGGAACTGGAGAGAGCAGGCAGGGCGGAGAGGGAGTGGGGTGATGAACAGCCAGTTGGGACGCTGTGATTTATCATAGGAAATATATTTGGTTTTCATCCCCATTCCTGGCACAGAGCCCCCTAAAACCCTTGGAATTTCCTCATTTGTGGTTGTGGTTGAAAGGTATCTTGATATTCATACCAATCCCTTTTAACCACAGCTGGGTGTGTGTTAATGAGGCAACTGTTGGAAAGCACCTAAGGATGGGGGCTGGTTGCCAGGGGAACCAACCACATCACTGGCTGGGAACTCTCCCCCCTCACCTGCAGGGAGGGGAGAGGGACTGGAGGGTGAGTCAGTTGCCAGCAGCCAGGGTTTTCATCAGTCATATCTATGTAATGAGGCCTCCATAAAAAGCCAAAAGGCTAGGGTTCGGAGAGCTTTCAGGTCGGCGGACATGTGGGGATGTGGGGAGATGGAGCTCCTGGGGAGGTCAGGGAAGCTCCCTGCCTTTCCCATATCTGGCCCTATGCATCTCTTCCACTGACTGTTCAAGGGTTATATCCTTTTATAATAAACCTGTAATCTAGTAAGAAAAAATGTTTCTCTGATTCTGTGAGCTTGTCTAGCAAATTAATCGAACCTGAGGAGGGAGTCATGGGCACCTGCAGTCTATAGCTGGTTGGTCTGAAGCCCAGTGACAGCCTGGACTTGCAACTGGCATCTGCATTGGGGTGAGGAGAGCGGTGCTTTAGCATTGAGCCCTCACCCTGTGGGGTCCGGCGCTGTCTTTAGGTAGGTAGTGTCAGAACTGAGTTGAATTGCAGGACACCAGGTGGTGTTGGAGAATTGCTTGGTGTGGGGAAGAAACTCACACGTAGGAACTGGTGTCAGAGTCATACCAGCCGTGGGCCAGGAGGCCACTATGCAAGGGAGCCGGTTGGAGTTGTCCAGCCAGTGCTCTTGTGAAAGATCACCTCTGGGGCCACGGCAGAAGGCTGAGGGATGTCCCGTGAGTGGCGAGGCTGGAGGATGTGGTGGAGGAGGGTTGGGGGGAGAGCTTCAGTGTGGACATAGGCTCTGGGCATCGGTGCAGGCAGGGTCTACCCCATGGCGGCAGATACCCCTTGGGGTCTCTGTGTCACCTACTCGGCACTTTATCCTAGGGGTCTCGGTCTCCCCTTCGTGCCCTTTCTTGTGCTCTTGTCTCTTCTTCCTTCTCTCGTTTTCAGAGGCCTTATTCTGGTCTCCACAAACCTCAGGGTTACCACCTTGGGGCTGCTTACGGCCCTTCCCGCCAGTCTTCAGTGTGCAGGCTGTGGGAAGAAAGTTATATTCTCTTGTCACTTGGTGAAAACAAAAGTAGGCAGGCTCCCCTAAACGTCCTAACATCGCTGACACGACTCAGTGACCAAACCCATGTCAAACCATTCATACTCATTGCCAGGGTGCAGAGTCTCCTGAAGTTTTCTACCTCATCTGTGAAGCACTTTTCAGGTGCATTTGGTCCCATGAGATCTGGGGGGAGAAAGCTCTTCATATAGCAGTGGGTAAACAAACACATCGACTAAACAGCCTTCAGAGTGGAAAAGGGAGGCCTGGGATGAAAGAAATAAAGTTTCTAAAAATCGCAATGGGAGTTTTATGGATAAGGCAGATGCACCCAGGATATTAGAAATTGAAACCCGAAAGATTGAAATTTAGGAGAGAAAAGGGCAAATAACCTGTGGTACAGAGCCAAGTACAATCTGGAATGGGGAGCTTGAAACCCCAACGGTGGATTGAGGGCGGTTGTGTCTTTCTGTCCTGGGCTGTGAGGTGGGGTCCCCTCCCTGCCTGCCTCCCTGGGGTGTTGTAAGAATCAGAGGAGAGAATTGATGGAAGCTCCAAGCACTCTCTAAATTATTACCTTTGTTGCTGATAGTTGCTATTGTTATTACTGTTTCTAATAAATAATAGGCTTGTAACAAGCCATGATAGGAAGCTGAACACAAGCGAAGACAGGAAGTTGGGCCATGTCCTGAATTTTGAGATTAGGTTGTTGGAAAACAATTCTACATTCACCAAACAGGGCCCTTGATACCATTTATTCAAGGACAAGCATAGATTCGCAGGGTCTTTGCTGAGCCACCATCACTGCTCTCACATTTACTGACTTCCAAAAGATTCCTCATTTGTGATTTGTGAAGACAAAAGAACAGAAATACACACAGAGGCAAGGAGTTCCGGCTGGGTAAGGAAGTGACAAGGAGTGACCCCAAGCAGTCCCCTGGCCCGTCTGCCTCATGTGGCTTAATCAACAGCCCTGATGATTTCTTGAGGCCCTTTCTTGATCCATGGGTGTATGATACGGGGACGAAGAGGAGCTGGGATCCTCCCTTTTTGTTTTGACCAGGTCTAGTCGGCTTCAGCCTTTAGTCCTTGGTGATGGGTGCGTCCACTGTTCTTAGCCATTGAGGAACCCTGCGATTCTGTGACTCTGACCTTAGATTTTTTTCCCGCACTCTTGACTTTTTCTGCCTTCTCACTGTGTTTAAAGATTATATATTTGCATCAGTTAGACTCATTGCACACACTGGAACGAGAATCAGCTCTACCTGGTGCCCTGCCTTGAGACTCGTTCATTGCTGCTGGGGTGGCTTGAGGGTATTATTGGAGGACTGTACTGATGTCTGAATTTAGACAATTACTAACCCTACGTGAGAGCAGTTCACAGGAGGTTTAAGGTCTTAGTATTTTGCAAGGTTTTGTGTTTTTAGTAGTTTCCTTTTGAGTGTTTTGTATGTGCCTTCGTTATTTTTGAGTTGAAAAAATGAGGAAGGCATCTGTTTAGCCATTTATTGGCGTCTGATTCCAAACAACTGCCAAGTGATGGCCTTGTAATCCTGGATATGGTATGGAAGGGGGCATAGAGATCACTGCATCAGCCAGTGTTCAGTCAGGAAAACAGAAACTGTGTATTTTAAACAGAGGGAATTGAATACACAGAACTCATTACAAAGTGTTAGAAGGGATGGAGGAACAAAAAGTGTAAAGTAAAGATTACCCAAAGATTAGTAACTGCTGGAAGCTGCTGTTCCCTGTAGAACTGGAGGACTGAGAGGGAAGACAGCATTGCCCAGGGCTCGTGAACTGCCTGGGCTGGGACCCAGAACACCACCTCACATGGAAGTGACACACAGCACTTCTGCCTGCATTCTAAAGTCACATGGCCACACCTAACCTGCAAGAGGCTGGGAGAGAAGGGGATGCGTTTGCTAACAACTAGTCTCCCCTTCCTGTGGGTATGGGAATTGCTGCTGTTAAGAGTGAACAGCAACCCTTGTGCAGAATCGGTCTTCAATACTCTCCGTGTGTGTGTGTGTGTGTGTGTGTGTGTGTGTACACATGCCTGCCTGGGCACAGTGAGGTGCCAGCATTTTAGAGCTGACTTCTGCCTGTCCCATTTCTCTCCCCCTCCTCTTGCTGGCCCTCCTGCGAGCAACTGAACTGACTTTTGTGTGTTCTGTTTGAAGGGGGCCCTGGCCCAGCGCCAGCCCTGGTGGAAGAGCCCGCTGTTCGTGTGGGAGCCAGTGCTGTTCGGGACCTGGGACGGTGTGTTCACATCCTGCATGATCAACATTTTTGGGGTTGTCCTTTTCTTGAGGACCGGCTGGCTGGTGGTGAGTGATGAATCGGAGGCTCTGGATTTTCTTGTGGGCCTGTCACAGGAAAGCTGTGTCCCTCTTGGGCATTTCACATCCTTGAGGCACAGACGTTCCACACACATGAAATAAGAAGAAAGTACACTGAAAAGAATATAGGATAATAAAGTAGGGAAAAAAGGAAGCACACTGAATAGCTAGCATTGCTTTTTACATGAGAATCCTGAGAACCTGGGCCTCAGACAGAGGTTCCAGCAGATACTTCACCATGGATTTAACTATGGAAATGTGAGCACAGAAGTCAGAGCATATTGTGGGTGGGCCTAGATGTGTGCCAGAGGGAGCAGACTGATGGGCATTGATGAACACCTAATGTGTGCCAGGTATTGCCCTGTGCCAGCTTACAAAATACAAGACTTTGTTCCTCCCCCAGTGAGCAAAGAGCCCCAGTGGGTAGATTTCACATCAGGAATCCAAAGAGGTCTCAAAGAAGTGTTAAATCCCTCAGGAACAGAACAGGGGGCTGACAAATCCAGGAAAGCTTCCTGGAGGAGATGTAGTTGAGTCAGGCCTTGAGAGGTCAGCTGGGTTGGACAGGTGAACAAGAGAGGGGGACATTCATGGTGTAGAAGGTACTAGTCAGTGTTCTCTAGGGAAGCAGAGCCAGTGCTCATGGGAGATGTGTATGTCCTAGGGGTTAGCAAGTCCAAAACCTATAGGTCACGTGAAGGTCAGGGAAGAATTGGTATTTCAGGCTAGAGTCCAAAGGCTGGAAACTCAGGCACCATTTTATGCTGCGGTCTAGAAACACAATTCCTTCTTCTTTGGGAAACCTGTCTTTGTTTTCAAGGCCTTCAAGAGATTGAATGAGGCCCACCCACATTATGGAGGATAATTTTAATCTCCTTCACGTAAAGTCAATTGACTATAAGTGTTAATTCCATTCAAAAATATGTGTACAGCAACATCTAGATTAGTGTTTGGCTAAACAACTGGTTACCATAGTCTACCCAAGTTGACACATTTAATTAGCCATCACATAAGCAAATTCTGGGGTATTAAAGCTCCACTATAGTGGGGTTCTTAGCTCCTTAGAAGGCCTGGGTGAGGCCAGACCTTCCTAAGCTTGCTCTACGCCATACCCTTAGCCATAGCCTGTGTGTGTCTGAAACTTTCTTTAAGTTAATGCATGGAAAGCTTAGAGCCGAGTCAGCAAGGTTTCTAGTATGGATGCTAAGAATTGGTGCCTTTTACACCCCTCACAAGCATACAGAGGCTCCACTTACAAAAACACAAGGCCTCCAGCTCAGACTCCTTGTCCTGGCAGGTAGTCTCAGGCTGCTGGGATCGATCTCTGTTTTTGGCCCTTAGTAAAGGCCACCTCACTGCCCAGCACCTCTCTATCCTGTGTCCTCTGGGAGCCCATCAGTCTGACTTCAGTGGCAGAGGAAGGCCTGGCCTGCTTCATGCAGGGGATGGTTATGGATTGGTAGAATGAGAGAAAGGTACGCTCTCTCTATTCTGATTCTTAAGTCCTGAAGACCCTCCTCTTAGCCCTCCCACTGGGTAATTTTTTTGAGGAATGGCTATCCAGGTGTGTCAGTACTATCCCCAAAGTGAAGGTACAAGTTGTATTCATTTCATATTGCTGCGTAACAAATTACTCCAAATCTTAGCAGCATCAAGTAACAAATATGTATTATATATAGTTTCTGTGGTTCAGGGCACCAGGTGCAACTTAGCTGGGTGCCTCTGGCTCATGGTCTCCTGTGAGGTTGCAGTGGAGCTGTCAGTCAGGGCTGCAGTCTCATTTGAAGGCTCCAGTGATGGAGGGTCCATTTCCAAGATTACTTGCATAGTTCTTGACAGGCCTCCTCCTGTGGGCCTCCTTCTAGGGTTGCCTTGTGCTGTGCAGCTGGCTTCCCCTAGGATGAGCAGTCTGAGAGGGAGAGAGCACCAGTGCCCAGCATGAAGCCACAGTCTTTGGGGATCTTAGCCTTAGAAGTGGCATCCCATCACCCCTGCAGGATTATGTTCATTAAAAGTGAACCACGAGGTCCAACCCCCATTCAGGGGGGTAGGTTACACAAGGGCATGGGTGCCCGGGGCTGGCATCATGGGAGCTATCTTGGAGGCTCACTTCTACACGAATATGTCTGTTTGTGATCATCCTAAAATCATCTCTGTTGTTCAGTTCTGATATTAGTTTGGCCTGAAATTTCATATTTGATCCTGGGAAAAAAGGCAAATGTGAAATGCCAAAATAAGGTAGAGCTTATAGGGGATGGCATAAAGTTAAAGGAAGCAGAGGTCATGCCAAAATGATCTTCAAGTAAACAATATTAACTCTAAAGAACAATTGGGCAACCTACTTATAATGTGGAGGATGTTAAAGTGACAGTTTTGGTATGGAAACTTAAAGGTTGGTATGGGATATTTTATAATCACATTCAGACAATTTAAAAGCATGAACAGAGGAAGAACATTGTAATTATATAATTTCATTAAACTTATGAAGTCAGTGACATAAGAAACTGAGAAACATAACTAAATAAAACATAGTCCCGCTCTCTTGGAGCTCACAGTTAGAGGTAAAGATGGGCTTGGACAGACTCACAGGTAAGTCCTAACCCTGTGAGCTGCGGGGGCCCAGAGAGGAGTCAGAGGGGCGGCTTCCCAGAGGATGTGGGGAGCGTCCCTGTCAGGGAGGCTGAAGGAGGAGGAAGGCCCTCCAGGCAGGTGCAGCAGTGAGGCTGGGAGGGTGGTGGGAGAGAGCACATGACTTCCACTTCGGGCACAGCGTGCATCTACTCGGGGACCATCAGCAGAAGGGTGGGAGGGACCGGGGAGGTGGTGAGGGGATGGACTGGGGGCGCCCCCTGAGTGCATAATGCGGCTGTGACCCACCCTGTTGGCCATGGGAAGTCACTGAAGAGTTGGAAGCCAGGATGTTTCCCTTCCTCTGGAATTTCTTCCAGGTCTTATGCTTGTGGTGCTGCCTCTGTCCTTTTGCAGGTGGCCCAGCTCTTCTTATCCCGACTGCAGCCCTGGGGCTGTTGAGGGGAGTGGTCAGTACTCCCAGGAGGGGCCTCCATATCCTAACCCATGACCTTGTTCCTTCCTGTTTCGCTGTAGGGAAATACCGGCGTGCTCATGGGCATGTTCCTGGTGTCCTTTGTCATCCTGGTGGCCCTGGTCACCGTGCTGTCTGGCATCGGTGTCGGGGAGCACTGTGGTGCTGGCAGCGGTGGCGTGTACTCCATGATCTCCTCGGTCCTCGGCGGGCAGACCGGGGGCACAATCGGGCTGCTCTACGTGTTTGGACAGGTGAGCCTGGGCTGCCAAGGCCCAGCTGCCGTGCCTGGAGGCCACCTTCCTTTGCCTTGCCATTGGCCACTGTCTTCTCTTCCACTTTCCCTCTTGGCCCAGGGAGGTGGGGGTGGGGGCAGTCGCTGTTTTTATAGATGGGCAGCCTGGGTCTCTGCAAGGGCCCCTGGGCCAGTGCTCCTTCCTCTCCTCCAACTCCCCCACCTCGTGGAGTCCCGCTTTGACCCGCAGGGCAGGGCCTGGGCTGGAACTGTTCTTGCCACGCTTGTCTGTCTGGGAGGGGAGTGAACGACTCTGGCCAGAACCTAGGTGGCAGCTGGGTGGCCTGGTCCCTGGGGTACTTTTGTGCTGAAGAGGGGACATTTTGCCTGTGCCAAAGGACTTTCCTAGAAGCAGGCACTTCTCAAATGAGCTGGTGCTCGAGGTGCAGCGGCAGCTTGATGGCCTGCAAGCCCTGTGTGGCCGCCAGGTCTGCAGAGCAGCATACTAATGAGGGGCTGCCTCATCAGGGTGGGCGAGGCCCTCGGAAACCCAGCGAGTAGGGAGAAGGCTTATTTAGCTAAAACACAGAGATGATGACCTAATGCTGAGGAAACAGAGTGCAGACATTAAGAAGCGGCTCTTTGTAAGCACTTCTTCACTTACAAAGGGCCTTTATGATTGTCTAAAGGGTGGTTGAAAAAACAGTTTCAAGAAAAGAATTTGTCCAAGTAAGAGTACAAGAGTCTTCTCAAAGAAAGCTTTGGTTTTGTTCCTTTTATTTTTAAGCATCAGGGGCAGGATATTTTCACATGAATACATCTGATTCTCCAAAAAGCACCAAAGTGTGTGTGTGTGTGTGTGTGTGTATTTTCACATGAATACATCTGATTCTCCAAAAAGCACCAAAGTGTGTGTGTGTGTGTATGTGTGTGTGGATATTTTCACATGAATACATCTGATTCTCCAAAAAGCACCAAAGTGTGTGTGTGTGTGTGTGTGTGTGTGTGTGTGTGTGTGTGTGTGTGTGTGTGTGTGTATTTTCACATGAATACATCTGATTCTCCAAAAAGCACCAAAGTGTGTGTGTGTGTGTATGTGTGTGTGGATATTTTCACATGAATACATCTGATTCTCCAAAAAGCACCAAAGTGTGTGTGTGTGTGTGTGTGTGTGTGTGTGTGTGTGGATATTTTCACATGAATACATCTGATTCTCCAAAAAGCACCAAAGTGTGTGTGTGTGTGTGTGTGTGTGTGTGGATATTTTCACATGAATACATCTGATTCTCCAAAAAGCACCAAAGTGTGTGTGTGTGTGTGTGTGTGTGTGTGTGTGTGGCAGATGCACTGGAAGGCAGACAGATTGTCACTACAACCACTTGCATTTACTGGAGAAAGATCTTTAACTAGCAGTTTGGGAGGTGAGTAGGCAATAGCCTGTTTATTTTATTATCCTGGAGTTTGGTGTATTGTTTTTTGCTTTCTCTGCTGTTTTGTAGTCAAGTAGGCTGCAAGATGGGCAAACAACCCAAGGGCAGTTCTCCCACTCACTGGGTAGACTGCAAGCTGACCGGGTGGGAAGGACCCTTGGTGGAGAGAGGGAGTCAGGGCACAGCAAGCCTCCTGCCTGTGGGCTGCCTGGAGGGAAGGGCGTTTCAGGGGTTTGCTGAGTGCTGGCCGCTGGTGCTGGAGCAGCAGCTGCGTGGGCAGCCTCTCCTGCTTTGCTTTCTTCCCATTGGGGCCTCGCTCACGAACATCGGCAGCCTTCTGGTGGGCGTCTCAGGCACGCCTCTGCTCGCCTGCAGCTGACCTGGGTTGGGCTCTCTGACCATGATGCTGCATGATCCTTTTGATGTGCTGCTGTATTCTAGTTTGCTAGTTTTTTGTTAGTATTTTCCTGAGGACTTTTGCACATGTATTCATGAGGGAATTTGGTTTGTTAGTTTTGGTGTCATGGCAGTGCTGGCCCTATAGCATGAGCTGGGAGGTATTTTTCTCCTCTTCTATTTTCTGGAAGAGTTTGTGAAGGATTGGTGTTAATTCTTTGAATGTTTGATAGAATTCCACAGTGAAACCATCTGATCCTGGCATTTTCTTTAGGATGTTTTTTAGGATGTTTTTGATAACTACTTCAATCTCATTATTTATATAGGCATATTCCAGTGTTCTTTTCTTCTTTTTTTCCTTTGAGTTAGTTTTGGTAGTTTGTGTCTTGTTAGGAATTTGTCCATTTCTTTTAGGTTATCTAATATATTGTGTAATTGTATGTAGATACCTTTTTGTTTTTGTAAGATTAGTAGTAATATCCTCTTTTTCATTCCTGATTTTAATAATTTGAGTCTTCTGTCTTTTCATCTCTGTCTAGTTAAAGGTTTGTCTGCAAAGAAGCAATTTTTGGTTTTGTTTGTTTTCTTGATTGTTTTTCTGGTCTCTATTTCATTTCTGCTTCAATCTCTATTATTTCCTTCTTTCTGCTTACTTTGGGTTTAGCTTAACTCTTTGAGTTTCCTAAGTTGGAGGGTTAGGTCTTTGACTTAAGATCTTTCTTCTTCCAGGGTGTGCATGGGGCTCCTAAGGGTCCTTATTCCTGGTTCTTGCTAACCCTTATGCCCCTCATTGCAGGATGCAGGCATTCATTTATTTTTAATGATTGCCAGAGCAGATTGCCTGTTTAGCCCTAGAGCAGGATCAACAAACTTCTGTAAAGGGCCAGATAGTAAGTATTTTAATTTTTACAAGTCATAAATCTCTGTCACAATTGCTGCTAAATTCTGGATTGGCAGTGTGAAAGCAGCCATAGAATCTGAAAACATGGGCACAGCTGTGTTCCAATAGAACTTTATTCCTCAGAGACACAGTAAGTAGCATTCGGCCAATGACTGAAGTTTGCCAAGCCTTGCCCTAGAGCATCAAAATTTAGAAGATAATAACACTTAAAATAATGATTTAAAAATTTTTTTAAATCTTTTCACTGCCCTGCATCCTTCCAAACCCTTCCCCCTCCCATCTCTCTGAGGCTTTGGTGGCAGGCCTACTGCGTGGGGCCAGTAAATGGAGCCCTCTTCACTCCCTGCCCAGCTCACCCTTCTGGGTGTAAGGGTGTCTTTGGGGCTGCTTCACCTGGACACCATAATATCCAGCTTCAGCTTGCACTGTCATGTCTAAAAGCATTTATTAATGGCTTACATGCTCTGTGCTGGCCTCTTTACAAAAGCGATGGGGGACTGGAAGCCTCTTATAGACCCAACATAGGCCTATTTGTATTCTGGAAGTTAGCACATATGCAGGACACATTGTCAACTAACTCGAGCCTTAAACTAGGGATTTCATGCAGAAGTGGGTGGTCTGGAGGCTTGCTGTAAGGAGGGCAGCTCTGGTTTTCTAGGGAACTACCCCAGGGTGAGAAGAAAAATCCCCATGATTGTGGAAGTGCAATTTTTCTAAAACAAATAACTTGAATGGAGGTGTTCTACCCTGAAAGTAGGTCACCTTCTCTTTAAAATGATGGGCGGCACCCCTTGCTTTCTGTGGCAGATGTTTCCACGTAGAGAACAAAAAAGAAAAAGGCATGCCTGTGATTACAAAATTTTAAGAGGAGATAAAAATACTAAAAAAATATAATAAACTCTGGGGATGTTTATATATTAAACAAATCGACAGGGTTGTTTTCCAGTGAAGAGGAGTATTCATGGTTGGAAGTTACCTCTGGGATGGCTGGGCTGCCCTAAGGAAGGGTCAGCAGCCCCTGTTGCCTGCCTCTCTCCTGATGAGGCCCGTATTCAGCCCCTGCCCCCGTCACTGGCCTCAAGTGGGTGTAGGAACCTGGCATGTGTACCCAACTGTAGTTTTTGCATAAACACAATAGTAACTCTTAATATTTTTGTTTTTATTCTTTCTTTATAAAGTTCTTTAAAAAATTACAAAATGGTGTTCATTGTAACCAGTTAGCACATCAGAAATAATGTAAAGAAAAAGTTTCCCTCCTTCTCCTGAGGTAACCAGTGTGAACACCTGGTGTCGTCTTCCCTCTGCTCACCTACATGAATTTATGGATTTTTGAAGTGCTTACTTGTTTCTACAAAAATGGGGACAAATTTTATACTGTATTCCATGGTTTGTATTTCTTACTTAACAATAAGTCATAGACATTCCACTAGGTCAATGCTCTAAACTCTTGGTTTTGAGTAATTGCTAGTATTACATAATATAAATGTACCATAACTTAAGGCACATTCACAGTCTCTTTTCATTCCTTCATTCATACTCTCTTCTGTAAGAGTGGCTTTATTCCTAGTCTCATCCCTAGTAGTCTATATTTTTGCATTTTCTCTTTTTTCCTTAATCAGGCTGCCAGGTGTTTTGTATTTTATTTGTCTTTTAAAGGATCAGCTTTTCTCTATATCTTTTCTTGAAAATTGTTCCTTTCTTTTATTAATTTCATATTTCCTTTCATTAAATCTCTTTATTTATATTGATCTTTTTATCACTTAAGTTAAATGTTTTGCTCATTTGTTTTTCTGCCTTTTTTAACTAATAAAAACATTTTGTGTTCAATTTTTTTCCCCCTTCTCAATACAGGATTAGTGTACCTCTCAGGGTTTAGAATAAAAAGTTCTCTTTTCATTACATTCTAGATAATTTGAAATGTAAAAGTTATAGTATATACCCTTAGAAGCCATATTATACTTTTTGTGTCCTTCCCAACCAAGAAATATTACTTACTAGCTCCCTGACCTACCAAATATGAAATCTCTAGGATCCTTCTACTTTCCCACATTCCATAAATGCCCTTACCTCTTGACTCCAAACCCTTAGATTTTTTAGAAGACTTTAATTTTGAGCTGTTACTGCTTTCCCTTAAAGTAAGACTCTTCAGTTTCCAGAATCCTTACTGGCAACTTAGAGCACAAATTTCCAGTGACTTTATTCCATCATCTATTTAGCATTAAGGAGAATTTTATGAAATTGATGACTAACTACTATTTCCTCTTTCTCAGTAGCTAATAATAGTAAAGTAATAGTGATAATGCTGATAGCTGTTATTTCTATAACTGTATGAGTCAGATATTGTTCTAGGATTTCACATAAATTATTTCATTTAATTATTTCTCTCAGAAATTTTCTTTCCCCTACATTTATTGAGCATCCCCCTTTACCCATTTATAGACAGAAATGCCTCATGTACATCTGGGGAACAGTGGCAATGATGTTATGTCTAGTTGCAAAGTAAGCCCGAATCGGGAGCTCCCCTCGCATGCAGAAATTATATTGCCCTCAGTCTTCATGTAAAAGGGCTGGAATGTAATGCTGCCTGCTTCCCAGAGCACTTTTCATATGGTCAACAGATCACAAAGTGTTCACTGAGTGCTTGAAACAGAATAGTTAGCAAATGTGGGGCATTTTACAGGTGCCACCAGCATAAAAACTTTTGTTTTTTAAGATGTTTACACTCGTGGTGGTGGTAGAGATAAACTTATATACATGAAATAATAATACAATATGGAACCACATAATTGCATGGTACTGGCAGTAAGCATAATATTTATTCAGAAAAGGTATGAGGAAAGGCTTCATGGAAATAAGGTACTTGACTGAGGCCACAGTAAAATTTGTTCCCTGGGAGAACAGCAAGAGAACAGAAGGGTAGTGACAAGAGCCCCTGGCCCAGGGTGGGGATGAGAGTGGCGGAGGGCAGTGGGGGTGAGGGAACCAACTGAGGAGGGAGGGAAGGGGGCTGAGGAATGGCAGAGTGAGTCTGGTGTCGTTTTCAAATATTTATTTGAAATTGTGTTTCAAATATTTTTTAAAAGGTAAAGTCATGACTCTCAGGCAAATATAAAATAAACATGTGCGAAAGGTTTTATTTAACTAATTAGTTAATGGAGGAGCCAATAATATGTTAAAGGGCAGTTGAAAAGCTAGGTATGCATCCTGGATGGATTCAAATCATATCTGTAAATTCATAAATTCATAGGTAAGCAATTTCATACATAACTGGAAAGATAAGATTGCTGCGTTAGATACAAAGCTGGTTAATGTCTACCAGGACAACAGACCCTACTCTTCTGGGTTATCTGTTCCCCTGGACAGAAGTTATTTGCATCTCTGGTTGAAAAAAATCTGTAAGTGGACACTGATTTCACTAAGGCTGGGACATTTACTGCATTTCATCATAAGTAAACAGTGAGTAGAATCAAGTACATTCACCCAGACGGTCCTCGGGCAGCCTTTGTTCCATATGACACGGACAGGATGCTTCGCTTTTTGTCCTACGTTTTAGATAACTTTTTAAATAATAGTCACCTACGAAAAAAACGGAGAAAAAACTAGGGTTTGCTTCAGTGTCCTCCTGAGGCTCTGAGATGGACCCCCTGTGTTTTTGTTCTTTGTTTAGTTCTTGAATAACTCAGAGAAATTTTGGCCCGGAGCCCCATCTTCCTCTTGTAGTTTCATTGTAGTCACCACTGAGTGGCGTTCGTCTCGCCTGGGCACTGGTGGAGATGTAGATGCGCAGAAATGGGCTGGCGGCAGGCCTCACAGGCAGGAAGGACTCATGCAACCCCCATGCTGGTTCCCAGGTGCCGAGCCTGGCAGGGGTGAGCCGGCTCCTCAGGGCCGGGCAGCGCCGGCCTGCGGGCTCCTGATGCATTCTTCACCTGCCGCTACCAAGAATTGCCTGTCAGTGTGTTGCAGGTGCCATGTACATCACCGGCTTCGCCGAGTCCATCTCAGACTTGCTGAGCCTTAGGAATATCTGGGCCGTGCGAGGAATTTCAGTTGTGGTGCTCCTGGCCTTGCTGGGCATTAACCTAGCAGGTGTCAAATGGATCATCCGCCTCCAGCTGCTGCTGCTGTTCCTTCTGGCTGTGTCCACGCTGGACTTTGTGGTGGGCTCCTTCACACACCTGGATCCAGGTAAGCCTTGTCCAGGGGGATAGATGGCCTTGTGGGGGTCTGCACTGCACCCTAGTGTTCATAGGTGTGAGTTTGCAAAACTACCCCCCAGTAGGCTTCACTGACAATACGTGTGTGCTGTTTTGGGAGCAGGTGAGTGGGTGTGTCCACAAGGGCCCAAAAGCCCTTCTTTACTTAGGCATTTTCACTTAGAGTATCTTCTGTTCCTTTTTATTTTCTTTCTGTTAAATAAAACCCAAAAAGTTTAGATAAACACAGGATAAAGTAGAATTGGGTTAAAGATTAAATTCCTAACAGTGATTACCAAAGTGGGCAAGAAATAGAACTGGAAGTAAGGAAGAAAATACATTTTAATATTGTCTGCCGTATTCAATTCATTTTTTAAAAGACTTTAAAATATAACCAGTATTAATAATTATCATTCTGGGAAATGGGGACAGATACAGGTTTGATTATTTATAGTTTTCTATATTAATTTTTTTTCTCAAAATAAAAAAATGAATCCATTCACTAAGCTTAAAGAAGGAAAATTAACAGCCTTTTGTATCATTTGGAAATGGTGTCATATCTTGATAATCAACTGATCACTGTTTAATCCTGGGTTTTCTTCAGCCTTGAGGATACCTGGCAACTCTAGTCCTAAGTCCATATGCTTTGAGTGTCCATAACTTTGTAGTTTTGTGTCTTGGGTGGGTTTGGCATCAAAAGTCTTTGTTCTAGACTCCAGAGTACAGAGCTTCCTAGGAGGCTGTAGACAAAAGGTGACTGCCAGATATTTCACGCTTCAGGGACTGTTTGTATGGCAATGGTGGTTAGGGTCTGTGTTGGAATATGGGCAGGGAAAGGGAAATGGGGCCACCAGCTGTGTTAAAGGAACACATGATCGCAGCTGGTCACCTCTACAGGTGGTCACACTGATAGCAGCTACATTTGGCTGAGCACTGGCTTTGTGCCAGGCATTGTGCTTAGCACCTCACGTGGCTTATCTCATGTAATCCTTATCATAACTTCAGGAGGGAAGAGCAATTACACCCATTTTACAGATGAGAGAATTGGGAATTATATAATTTGTAGTTGTACATAGCAGAGCATAAAAAGATATTTTATATTTTATATAAAAATATAAAATTGTATAATTATATGGAGTATATAATTTGTGGGAATGAGAGAGGATCTCTTTGACTCTAAAGCTGAGCTGTTCATGAGGTGGGAAGCTGGGCCTGTCTTCACATTACCGGCTGTCTTTTTATTGCATTAGCTCTGCTTTTCCCCTTCAAGGTTGCCCCCGATGTCTCATCTTTCAAAAAATGTGTTGGTTGCAGGAAGGTCAGAATTCAGTTGGTACATGCTAATCTGGCCTTGCTACTTTCTTATGTGTTTAAATTCTTCTTTTAGAAAACAGTCACTCCCCTGAGCTCCCTCAATGCCCCCTACCCTCTGGCAACCTGGTCCCTCTCCCAGGACCTCCAGACTGCCCCATGACCCAGCATCTAAATGGGTTAACCCCCAGACAGAAGGAGTTACCAGGACTCACTCCAGGGTGGTACCCCAGTTGATCACTCAGTGCCTGGGCCTTCCTTGCAGCTTGCTAAATTTTGGAGCATCTCCATTGGAGGGAAAGAGTGCTTTTCTCCCTGGCCTTGAACTAGGCTGCAGGACAAGCCCACCCCCCCCCCGCCGAGGGAGACCGGCTGGCTGGCCATCAAACTGTCAGTTAGGGAGAGAGCGCCCCCTCTAGTGTCCAGGTCCTCTGTCCTTTCCGCCTGCGTCTGTGTGGTTCCTGTGAGAGTATAACTGGTTCAACTGCAGGGTGATGCTACGGGGCTCTTTGAAACCTCACTAAACTGATGTATTTTCCTTCTTCTTGATTAGAAGTTTTCCTGGCCGCTTTTCTAAGTTACTGCAAATATTTCTCTTTCCTTCTGGTCAGTACATTAACAGGGTGTAGTGTGAAGTGAAATTTATTTTCAGTCATTCCCATAGCAACTGGCCCCTCTAGAATCTGTTTTTGGTATCACTGATGTTTTTTATGGGCTACTTTCTTTGCAGTAAAAAATCTGAACTAAAACTGGACCATAAACCTGCAGAATAGATTTAGCAGAATGATTTCAAGTCTTTGAAAAAATGACATATACATAGACATTTGAAAAAAGACTAGAAGAAACTATGCCTAAGTGTTAACAGTGGCTGTGTTTCAGCTGAGATTATGGGTTCCTATATTATCTTATTTTCTACTTTTCCTTCAACTGATTAGTGCTATTTTTTAAAAAATTAATAGATTTTAGTTTTTAGAGCAGCTTTAGGTTTACAGAAAATGAGCAGATAGTAGAGTGGTTCCCATGTGCTTCCTCTCTCCCCTTTCGAGGGAGTTTCCCCTTACTAACATCTTGCGTGAGTGTGGCACATTTACTACGGCTGAGGAACCAATACTGATACATTGTTATTAACTAAAGTTGGTAGTTTAGGTTAGGATTCACCCTCAGTGTTGTACAATTCTATGGACTTTTGTAAATATATAGTGACATATATCTACCACTAGTATCATACTTTTATGATACTTCTATTAAGTATCATAGTTTTAATGGCTTAAAAATCCCTGTGCTCCCCTATTCAAAACCCTTCCGCTCACCCTTGAACTCCTGGTAGACACTGATCTCTTTACTGTATCTATAGTTGTGCCTTTTCCAGAATGCCATATAGTTGGAATCATAAAATATGTAGCCTTTTCAGACTGACCTTATCCAGTTAAGGTTTCACCATGTCTTTTTGTGCCTTGATAACTCATTTATTTTGATCACTGAATGATATTCCATAGATGTACCACTGTTCTCTTTTTTTAAGAAATAAATTCATTTAGTCAAAGAACATTTTGGTTGCTTCTAGCTTTTGGCAATTAATAAATAACACTTCTATAAACATTTGTGTGCAGGCTTTTGTGAAGATAGAACTTTTTAGCTCCTTTGAATAAATACCTAGGAGCATGATTGTTGGACCATATGGTAAGATTATGTTTACCTTTGTAAGAAACTGTCAAACTGTCTTCCAAGTGACTATACCATTTTTGCATTCCTACCAAGAACAAATCAGAGTTCTGTTGCTCCAGATCTCACCAGCTTTTGGTATTTTAGGTTTTTGGATCTTAGCCATTCTAATAGGTACATAGTAGCATGTCTTTGTTGTTTTAATTTGCAATTCCTTAATAACATAAGATACTGAGCATCTTTTCATATGTTTAATTGACATTTGTATATCATCTCTGGTGAGGTGTCTGTTCAGATCATTTGCCCATTTTTTTAAATAGGGCAAATTAAAAAAATGATTTCAAGTCTTTGAAAAACAATTTTTATTGTTGAGTTTTAAGAATTTGTATATTTTGGATACAAGTCCTTTATAAGATACATGTTTGTAAATATTTTCTCCCAGTCTGTGACGTATCTTTTCATTCTGTAACAGTGTCTTTTGCACAACAGAAGTTTTTAATTTTAATGAAGTCTAAGTCAATTTTTTTTTCCTTCATGGATCATGCTTTAGGTGTTGTACCTAAAAACTCATTACTAAACCCAAGATCACCTAGATTTTTCTCCTATGTTATCTTTATCTTCCAGAAATTTCATAGTTTTGTGTTTTACATTTAGGTCTATGATCCATTTTGACTTAAGTTTTATGAAGCATAGAAAGTGAATGTTTACAGTTTTTTTTGCATGTGGCTATCCAGCTGTTCCAGCACCATTTGTTGAAAAGCATATCCTGTCTCCACTGAACTACCTTTGCTCTTTTGTCAAGGATCAGTTGACTATGTTTGTGTGAATCTATTCCTGAGGTCTTCATCTTATCCTGTTAATCTATTTGTCTATTTGCTGATACCACACAGTTTTGATTATTATAACTTTGTAGAAAGTCTTAAAGTTGGGTAGTGTTAGTCTTCCAATTTGTCCTTTTTCACTCGTGTTACTTTTAAAATCAGAAAAAAAATTGTATTAAAAATAAATACACTTTATTTCTTTCCCTTTCTTTAAATATAAAAGACTAAAAAAAATCCAAACAATCCTAAAATGTACAAAGTAAAAGTATAGAGAGTAAAAAAGCAAGTTTCCTCCTTCACACCATTTTCCCACTAATACTCTCCAGAGGGAGATTGGTACAGGTATTAGTTATCTATTGCTGTTGTAGAAATTATTGCAAAATGTAGTGGCAGAAAACAGCAATAAATGTTTTTTATTTCTTGCTCTTTCTATGGGCCAGAATTTGGGTATGGCTTGGTTGATAGGTCCAGCTGAGGGTTTCTCAATGAGGTTCAGTCAGATGTCAGCAGGGGCTGCAGTCATCTGAAGGCTTGACTGGGGCTGGAGGACTGGCTGGTAGGTTGGTATTGGTTGTTGGCAGAGGGCTCGGTTCCTCTTCCTGTGGTCCTTTCCTGAGAGCCTCTTATATGTCCACAAACCATGGAGTGAGTGGCTTCCCCAAGAGCAGAGAAGAGAGACAGCCAGAGTGAGAGTGTGGAGGGATGGGGCATGGGAAGGAGAGGGAGAGAGAGAGCTCTATCCTTTTTATGATCTAGCTTCAAAATCACATCGCAGACTTCTACCACAATATGTTACCAGTAAGTCACTTTGGTCCTCATTCAACGGGAGGGGAATAAGAAAGTTTCCACCTTCTGAATTGTAAGTGTCAAAGAATTTGTAGACACATTTAAAAACAACAACAGTCAGTTTTAAAATCAGGAAAAAATGTAAATACACTGAAGTCAAAATGTTTTCCTGTTTACTTCAAGGACAAAATAAATATTTATGTGTTGTAAAACTTCAAAAATCACTGAAATATAAAGTAAAAAGTGAAATTTCCCTCCCTTTACTCCCTTCTCCTACCTCTACTCCCCAAAAGGAGATCGGTAAATATCTTTCCAGTCTATTTTCTATACATGTACAAGCACAAATGCACATGGGCACATACATAAATACATACAACATACTTCTTTGTAAAAATGTAGTTATACATTGTTT